GGATGCGCGGGCGGGGCGGGGCCGCAGTGGGGGAGGGGTCCCCCGCCCGGACTCTCACTCACCGCCTGGCTCTCCTCCCGGCCCGGCTCCGCGGCGGTCCCCGCTCCGGCTCTCCCCACGAGGGACTCCACGTCCAGTCAGGGCGCGCGAGGCACAAGAGAAGTCGCCGCGAGCGGAAGGCGTGGGGCGGGCGGAGCCGCGGGACTGGGGAGGATGAAACAAACGGTCGCTCTCGCCGCAACAGCGGCCACCACAGACGCGGCCACCGCCGGCTCCTCTCAGCCACGGAAGCAGCGGCACCTCCCACCTCCCACCCCTCTCCCCGCCCACTGGAGAAATGACATTGGCGCTGACCAATCAGAGGCCTCATCAGGGCCTGGCCGGGCGACCTAAGAAGTGGGCGGGAAGGGAGGGGTTTGAGGAAGGCGAGAACGGCGACGGGACTTCCTGTGACTGACGGCTGGTGTAGCCACTGGGCAGCAGAGAGGTGACCTCATCGCTGAGGGAAGTCTGGAACTGGCGGAGCCTCTGCGAGGAGGTGGGAGGAGGTCGGCGCGGCCTGGGGCGGGGCTTCGAAGCCTTAAAGAGACCGCAGCACACTGGTCATCTCGGCAGGCGCAGGGCGGTGGAGCCGCGGCACTCAGCCGAGTGGCCAAGGGGTCAGCGCTGAGCCGCGAGCGCTTACTGCGTTCGTCCCTCCGAGCCCATCCCGATCCTTCTAGAAGGCTGGAGGGTCGACGCCTGAGGCTAGTAAATCGATTATTTCACTTTCATGCTTCCCAAAAAGAGACACAATAAATCCCGCCCTGGCCGGGAGCCCCGACTTCCCGTTACAGCCCGCGCCCTGCCGGGGCCGGTAGCCTGGTTTCTGTAAGTCAAGGTGCCCAGCGGTAAAAGACTGGATGCCGGCACCTCCCCACCCTCCCTACCTGCCCGGAAGGGTGAGAGCAACCCCAGCGAAAGTGCTTGGGCTGAGCAGCGAAGGGGCTGGACAAGCCCAAGGCCTGAGCCCAGTCTGCGGGAGTCGGCGGGGAGTCCGCGGGAAGAGCGTCTGTGCTGCCAGGACCCCCGGGGCTCTGGCCTCCTGCAGCTCCACAGTCCTAACGCTCCTGCCCTACCTCTGTGTGTGTGTGTGTGTGTGTGTGTGTGTGTGTGTGTGTGGTATTCTGTGTCCTCCCGGTTGGGGGGGGCCCACACGTGAACCTGGTCCACGACTTCAAAAAGGAGAAAGAATGTGAGCTCAAGAGAAGAGAAAGAACAAGTCAAACAAGGGCCGCTGTGTTGGAGGCAGGCCACTTGCTCCCCCACCCCCAGCATGGAAGGGAGCCCAGAAAAGGAATAATAACTCCAACTTGGTGGGGTGGAAAAGAGGGGGAAGTGCTTTCCAGAAAGCTACTAGGGGATGGTATCACACAGACTGAGAAAAAGGCACCCTCCCTCCCAGCTACAAACACTGGGGTTAGGGCCCCTGTCTTCCCCCAAAGGTCTCCAGGGAATGCCCACTGATGTGAGCTCAGAGCAAGAGCATGAGAGAGTGCCTCTCCCCCTCCAACAGCTGCAAAAGCCAAAGTAGCCCCTCCCCCCCAAGTCAGCTGCAGCTTCACTACCACAGGGTGGCCACAGAAGCTTGGCACTGAGCTGATTCCTTGCTGCCCCTTAGTCACACACCTTTCCCCTAGGCAAAAATCCTGCAGGAAAGTCCCAATAAAATTGTTAATTCAGCAGCTATTTTCTACAGTAGATACTGGGGAGGCAAGATAAGCTGGGGTGAATGCGCCCAGAGGGGGCATGCCCCCAGTGCCCCAGTAACCTCAGAGGACAAAGTACTGCTGGTGGGAGTAACTGGGTGGGACAGATTTCCCCAAGACAAAAGCCAGTGGGGCGCCCCAGATAGTGCCCACCTAGACAGTGCCCTTGTGAAAAGACCACAGTAAGAAGCACAGAATTATTAGTCATGTGAGAGAGGTATGGCCATTCACAGTTCCCCTGCCTGGCGGGCTCACCACCTCAGGAACGCCCCTGTTCCGTTCTTTCTTTAAGAAGTATTTATTTATTTATGCATGCAAGAATTGGGGTACAGGCCAGAGGTGCAGGGGTGAGAGGAATCACCAGAAATAGTGGGGGACAGAACAATCAGGTCTACTGAAACACACTGCTGAGGAGAGCAGCAGGGAGACAGGAGAGGTCTGCTGCACCCTGTGGGTCACTTCCTGGCCAGCTTGAGCTAGTGCTGCAGTGGCTGGGGGCAGCTTCACAGTGCTGAGACTTAACCTCTGCGCCACCAGGCAGGACCTTGTTTCTATGGAAGACCTCCTCCCACTAAACTCTAACCCCAAAGCCTCATGTTATCCCCCAGAGTTTCACAGAGCACATCTAGCCCCACTTCATCCTGGCAACATTTCCAGAACTTGGGGATGACAAGTATACCCTTTCCCACACCCTCTCCCCAAATAAACCATCCAGTCCCTTGCCACCATTCCCTAATTTCCTAGGTCATGGGTTATATGCCCCTCACTATCCTGAGGACCACACAAATGTCCTCCCGTTTGCCAAGCTGGTGACATGTGTAATTTTGGTCCTTCCAGTAAACATTCTCTTTCTCCTTGTAAGGGGACTCTGATTTCTGGGGACATTCTCTTCCCCATCCTGTTCCATTGGGGGCTCCTGGCTGACTGGACCACTCACCTGTGGAGCAGAACACGTGGCCCAGTCCTGACCAATCAAAGCACAGCTCCTCCAGCAATTTAGGGAATGCCACGGGGTGACCTTCTCTGACCTGCGGGGAGAAAGGGGTTCTTTTTGCACTGGGGCTGTGCTATCCTGCTACTCCCTTGGGGCTGGTAGAGAGGAGAGGACCATGTGAAAGCCTCTGTTTGAGATAGTCTCCTTAGAAACAGCCTGTGAGGGAGTAGCAGAACGCCATCTTGCCTTGACCTGATCCACAATGGAGTGCTCTGGAGTCAGCGCTCCGCTCCGTGGCCCACCAGCCCTTAGCCGGGGGCTGTTCCCTCCCACTGAGGGTCATTCTCTGAAATTGGAGGCACCTGGAACCCCTTATCTGCCTACACTCACAGCAGCTGAAGTCAGGCATCCTGACCTGTTAGAGAGGCCCAGGAGGGGCACCACCTGCGTCTTCCACTGTGGCCAGCACATTTCATCCCACTTGGGGTTCTGTTCCTTGCACCCCAAATGTGACCCCATGAAAGAGTTGTGATCTGAGCTTCAGAGAACAGTGAGGCCTCAGCCTTCCCTGGTCTGACTCCTTCGTACCCTGTACCATGAGCTGAACTTTTGCTCAACTCACTTTTTTTTTTTTTTAAGATTTATTTATTTATTCATACAGAACTGGAGTACAGGCCAGAGATGCAGAGGGTGGGAGGATTCACCAGAGACAGAGTGGGATACAGAACAGGCAGATCGACGAAGTACACTGCTGAGGGGCGCAGCGGGCAGGTCAGGAGAGGTCTGCCACGCCATGTGGATCTCCTGGGGCAGGCGGGGATCGAACTCATGCGGAAGTGGCTTAAGCTTCTTAGTGCAGTGCTTTAACCTGCTGCACCACCAAGGAGGGCCCTCAACTCACTTTCTAACCAATCCTTTCACCCTCTCTCCTTTAAGTCCCCCCATCCCAACACTGATATTAAGCCAAACCCACCATTTCTTGCACTTCTGTAACTAATTTTTTAACACACAGGCAGGATTTTAAGTGTAACCCTGCTAGTATTAGCACCCATGGTCATTTTGTCCATTTCCTTGGCTGCAACTTACCGTAAATAGAGCAGATCTGATTCCACACTGCCCAGTGCCTCTAACTTTGTTGCTATGGCTGAAAGGTGGCAACACATGACAGAAACCTGGGAACACATGACGGAAACCTTCAGATAAACCACTAGAAACTGATTTCCTCCCCGCAACCTGGAAAACCTGCTCTGTGTCCTGGGCAGTCTCTCTTCCTGGGCAGTCCCCCCCAGATGTGGTTGCTGGGACTCGACCAGCCTGTCCTCAGCACATGCTACTCACTCCTGCTCCTTCTCAAGGCTTTGCTCAAGTTGGTTCCTCTGTCCACTCATATCCTACTTCCTCCAGGAAGCACTCCAGTATTCCAACATTCCTCCATCCTAAATAGAGCTTTTAAAATATTGATTTTATAATGGGGGTGACATTAGTGTTCAACACTGTATGGGTTTCAGGTGTACTTTCCCACATCAATGCCTGTACATATCACCCCACACTCACTGAAGTCAGCCTCCTCTGCCTGTTCCTACCACTCCTCTTTGGCACACCATTATCTTGTTGTCAGAGTCCAAGGGTCATCTGCTTTGTTTCATTGTGTTCCACAAGTGAGTATAATTATAGGGCACCTGTCTTTCTCCTTCTGACTTATGTCACTTAGCATAATCCCCCCCAGTTCCAGAGGCATGGTTGCATATGGCAAGATTTCACCCTTTTTCTAAACTTCCACTTCTTTGAGGATGCTCAGCTCACTGTGCCCAGGCAGAGCTGAGCTTTAACTGCATTATCTTACTCATCATGGCCGTAGTCTTGCAGTGGATGCTGTTGTCATCCACCCAGACTAAGGGAACTCAATGTGACATTGCTAAAAAACAGCAAAGTCAGGAATTAGAATTCTGGATGCATCCCACAAACATAAGTAACTAGAAGAAACATCTAAAAAGGAAATAGACCAGGCCTCCCTGGTGGCACAGCGGGTTAGGCTCAGCACTATGAAGTTGTCAGCAGCCACTGCAGCACGAGTTTGATCCCCACCAGGAGGTGACCCCCATGGCTCAGCAGCCTCTCCTGTCTCCCCGCTGCTCCCCTAAGCAGTGTGTTTCAGTAGACCTGACTGTTCTGTTCCTCACAGTGTCTCCGGTGAAGACTCTCTCTCTCTCTCTCTCTCTCTCTCTCTCTCACACACACACACACCTCTAGCCTGCACCTCAACTCTTGTATGCATAAATAAATAAACCTAAAAGGAGATCATAAAGGACACCAAGTGAGGACAACCAGACATGAAGCAAGAGGAGAGTGAGCTAGTAAGACACCCAGGAGGCTACAGGAGGGGTTTGCCTCTGGCAGGCAGGAATGAGGTGTGGCACCCACCTCAGGGCACCCCATCAGAGATAGATAGCAAGCAGGAAGGAAAACATCAGGCATATTTGAGCAAGGGAGTTGCTTGGTTTGTTTGAGAGATAAGCTTGAAAGTCTGGTGGAGGCCCTGCCATAAAAAGTAGAGAACGCTCAGGCAAGGCAGGGTGGCAAACAGACCACTGATCATTTCGAAACTACCTGGTCATTTGTAGATTAGATTAAAAGGAGCCTGAACCCAGGTGGGAAGATATGTCAGCCTGTAATCCAGCCTGAAGACGAGGAGCTGGGGAGCGCTGTGCCAGTGGGGAGGGAGGCTGGTTCACCTTGTCTTCCTCTGTTCTGTTAACACCTGTCTCTCCTTGTCCCTAAAGCTCAGCGCATCTTTGAAACATGTTAATCATTTTTAAAAAGTGTCAATAACCTCAAAACCAATAACAATTCCTTGACATGCCATAAAAGATAAGCAGACGTTTTTGGAGTTGAACTGAACGCCCTGCATAGAGAGAAAAAGGCCGGTGTTAGAGGGACTCAGGCCATGCTGAAGCCACCACCACCAATAGGATGACCTGACTCTACAAAGGAAGCTAGATTTGCTGCCCTTACTACTCGGCACACCT